ATCTGGCAAGCTTAAATTATAAATTATTAGAATGAAAACGCGATTCAATTGGGAATTAAAAACAATTTGTTTTGTTCTTATTTAAAATGTTCATTTTATTGAGCAATTCCATTTTATTAGTTTAAAATTTAGAAAATAAAGGTTAGATTTTGTTTTTAATTTTTAAATGTGGCATAAAATGTACTGTTCATCCAAAAACTTAAAAATCAGTGCTATAAAAAATGTAACTACCAGGATTCTCAGGATTCTGTTTTGAAAAATCATTTTGCTTTCTCTTAAATTGTTGATGTACTTTTTGCCGTTTTATATTAAATAATATTACTTAATGGTATTAAAACAATCTATGTAGAACCCTCGTGTGCCATTATACTGAAAAATAGCCTTTTTTTACATTAAATACTATGCTGATATTTTCTCACCAAGAATTTCTTAGTCGGTATGCACACTTGTGAACTACTTTCTTGGAAGAACTCAGGTTATTTTAAAGACCAGTCAGAGGCTCTGACTCACAGACCCGTGGCAAACCCCTAGAGAGTGGAGGCAAATGTGCCTATCATTGCTGCATGTCAATGTTGGCGAAATGTATCTTTCACGCTCAATTTATTTGTAATGATGTCGACAGCAGAGCCTCTCTGGGAAAAGCCAACGATGGCGGGGAAATGCTGTTCAAGTAGGTGGGTAAAAAACCAAAAAAAAAAGTGGAAGGAAACGGAAAACGTAAGGCCGCTATGGCACATTAGTGGCGCCACGAAAAATCCCCAATCATAAAGTGAGCGGACTCGTGGCAACTTTTCGCGAACGCATTTTTCATGTCGGAATCGTTGGGTCTAGGGCAAATGATATCCCTTGGGGGCGTGGCAGGGGGTGATGTGGAATGAAATAGCCGCATGTGTAGCCCTAATGAAATAAACATGTTTATTAGAGATACAAATGCGAGTCAGAGGTCCTGGCTTTTTTACGGCCACGATTCCCATAGCCTTTTTTTTCCGCGATGTTTCACAGTGCGTATGATTAATATTAAGCGTAGCTGCCTTGCACCTGTCCGCTTTGTAATTAATTGAATTATTTTTCTCAGGACGTGTCCTTCAGTGGATGAAGGCAAAGGCGAGGAAGCAAACAGCACAGCCAGTCCGATGGAATTATAAATTCAAGGGGCATCAAAAATAGCGGAAATGCAATTAAAATTGTGCAAGGTTCACGGCATCCCGGCGAAGTGTTGGTCTGTGAGTGTGGCTTAGAAAAATTACCAACAGCTACTTAGGTAGGATAAAAAACTGCACAACTTTTCGGAATGCTGCAGGCGAAATGAGAGCCATATTATGCTTAATTAAGCTGCTTTCTCCTCCGTTTCGCAACTTCGATGCTGGAAAAAATGTTGGCCAGGTGAGGATTAAAAGAGTGCCTCTGCTTAAACTGCGGAAAAGAAAGGAGTAAGTGGGGCTACAAGTGGGGCCCTTAAAGTTCAAGAGACTTCTGAGTGGTGAAACAGCACAGAAGGATGAGTTTGATTTTGGGAACTTCTTTTAAGATGTTAAACATTATTATTACCAAAAAAGTATAGCTTAATAATTGAATGGAAAAAGACTTAAAATATATAATATAAATGTCATAAACGCTGAATAAATTCTACTTTGGTTGAAGGCTACATTATTAATGCATTTTCTCAGCTGTCATTATCTCATTTTCCGTCAAGCGCTTTTATTTAATTAGTTGAAAAAAAAACTGTTAACACGATTCCCTGGAATACCACTTACAGACCAATTGAAAACAAACAAATCGGTTTAAACTATTAAAATTAATCCATTAAAAATAAAAAGGGGCATTGTAAATGAAACTGAAGGGAGGGCAGTTGAAGGTACCATCCACCGGGGTAAACGTATCCATTCAGAGCGGAATGCTAATGAGGTTAATGTTTGCATTGAACCCAAAAAACGGCGAATGCAAAGCGATGCTGGGCAAAAGCCCAACCTCGACATCAGGTCCTGACCTCCCTATCCTTACCACCATCTTTCCGCTGGCTGGCATCCCATCATAAGCGAATCGTGGGATTTCAAAATGTGTGTGCAGAAAAAGTCAGGCAAACAAACGGACAAATAGCAGGGGAAGACTTGAAGAGACCAACTAATCAAGGTAATGAAATCAGTTTTATTTTAGCTTATTTCCTCTTTTTTCTTTACCATTCCCCGCCCAGAGTGGCGGAACAAGGCCCACAAATAAAGAATTAAGGGAGGGAATGGAGTTAAAAGTGTTCGCCAGGGGGGTTAAGGCTTTTAGCCCATTCCCGAGCCGTCTGGCATAGGGCACTCTCCCCACTACACTAGGGTTATCATCAGACTGCCTGTCTGTTTGGGGTTGTTTATATTAGAATTAAAAATATTAAATATTCCTAAAGTCCTAAACTGTTAGTGGGTAGACTACTTATAAAGATATGGGGCTTATGCTACCCTTAACTTAGTTTCATTTTGAATAAATCTAAGTGTCAAAATTTTTTATTATATATACACATTACCTAAGTTTAGACTATTAGACTAGTGTCATATAATGCTTAGGCAAGCTTGGGCCCTATTTAACCGCGAATTCTTGAGACATACTTAAAAATATCACCACTGGTAAGTACATTGTCCCGCGAATTCTTCAGAAAATGGAAGAAAAGTCCGAAACTTTTTACCGCCTAATTAGAAAAGTTATAAAGCTTAAATGTGCTTAATGAATGAGATAATGACAGCTGAGAAAATGCATTAATAATGTAGCCTTCAACAAAAAAAAAATATGTCCAGCGTTTAAGACATTTATATCATATATTTTAGGTCTATATCTATTCAAATATTATTATTATTATTATTATTTATTGTTTAGACTTCCTAAAGCTACAAGTTCTAAAACTTATAAATTACTGCGCTAGTCACAACTGGTAAACATACTTAAATTTGGACAAAATTGGTTCTTAAATCTAATGACATTCGAAAGTTCCTAGAAACCTACTTGAAAATATTACAACTGGTATGTACATTGTCTCGCGAATTCTTTAGAAAGGGGAGAAAAGTCCGAATCGTTTTAGCGCTTAATTAGAAAGTTCCTAAACCATTATATCATCATCGGAAACGTTTAGAAACAAATTCAAGACGTCTGTAAAAATAATAACGAAATACTTTTTTACTTTTCTTCTTTTTGAGCCCAAATTGTCATAGCATATCCATTTCTACTGCACTTGTCATATACATATTTCAGCGAAACTCACCCACTCACTTTTCCGCTCATGAACTGCTGATGGCTGAACAAACTTGCAACCACTATAAACTTAAAACCACTGGCACACAGTCCGAGACTCAATTTTGGCCCGACAACAATCAGATGGAGCTCGTTGAGCAAACTTGCTCCTCTTCCGATGCCAGCTGCTCCTTCTGATCCTTGTGATACGGTCTCCATGCTTGTTTCACATTTCCGCTTACTTGAAATTATTAATTACCGAAATTCCAGGGGACGACGACAACAATCTGAATGGGTTTTACCAGGTTGTGGGTGGTCGGTGCTTGGTAAATCTTGTCAGCAATTCAATTAGTGGGCGCTTGCGTTTATCTTATTTAAATATAGCATACTTTCCGACTGCTGCATGCCGTGTGACTCAGTGTGTGTGAGTGTGTTGTGTTAGTGATTGTATTGGTGTCGTCATGGCAACGACAAGGACTCCAAGGACTCGTAGGACTGACTAGAGGCGAACTCGTGACTTATGCAGTGACGCAACCAATTACGGCTTAGGGGAAACTGAAACTGCAACGGCTGTCTCGCCGCCATCTTCCTCGCCCCATCTCGTCCTTTATCCTTCATCCTTTGGGTGTGTGAGTGTTAGTGTGAATGTGGGTGTGTGCTCTGCGGTTAACTGTGTCTGCTCGACGTCTGCCTTCCAGACCGATATTCCCTCCAAAAACTATGTCAAATGGGATTTTATGCCACACTCAAATTTTCACTAGTATGCTTTCGTGATGGGTAACTCTATTTTTTGGCTCAACTACCGCTGAAAAGTCGTTGGCCATTCTTGTAGCAGCGATTGTTCAAAAGTTTCTTAATTAAATATGATATACCTGGCAGCCAATCAGCTCACCCAGGCCACTGCTAATTGAAGTTGCGAACTGCCAACGCTGCTGTTTTTGACATCTAGGGCGCAAAATGTCAGTTAAAATGCAATTTTCTTGGTGTTAAATCGAGTTATAAAACCTCTAAACTAGCGAAAGTTTTTTTAAATATATAAAATAAAAGAAAATTGTACCTGAATTTCATTTGTTGTATACAGTCCATGAGTTTCCTTAATTTTCAATGTCCCAGAAAATATCTGAAAATAATATCAGTGAATAGGAGGTTTATTATTAGAAGTGGGATTAAATATGTGTGGAAGTTCCAATTTCGTGGTTACACATTTTTTCATAGAATCTATATAAATCTATAGTATAGACTGTATACCATTCTCCCATTCTGGTTTTATACAAATAATATGTAACCATTCAAGGAGCTTTGAAAATCGGAGGTATAAAAAGTTATTTCCCATGCAATCCAAAGTCTTATTACTACATTTTGTATTTAAATAGTTTTTGTTCTAGTTATCTTTTATAAAACCAAAATATTGTCTCCAATAATTTATTGGATATTAAGCAGATTCTTCGCAAATGACGAAGCACATCAAAAGATTTAACTTATTGAACCTGGCTCGCCGGGCCAAGTCACTTAAGTAAATTGGACCACAAAGTTCGTCTGCCAAAGGTAGTCGTATTTTATTTCTCCTACCCAGAGGTTTTTCTTTTCGTTTTGGGGACTTACTTATCTGATTTGTTTGCGGTTGTGTTGTGCGTGAGCTGCCAAAGAATTGAAGACGTCAATGAAGAGACCCAGATGGGGCGGCAAGATTGTCATTGACTTTTTAATTCTGTCTGGCAGCTTCACTCGTTTTAATTAGGTAAAATCGCCACAGATCACAGTGGGCCGTGGCTTTTTGGAGCTGTCGGATTCAACACACAAATTTACTCTCACATTCTCCAAAATACAAAGAAATAATTATATTTTCTTTTCGAAAAGAAGAGAGGTGGCTTCTACGTTATAGAAATCAGCTGCTTTTTTGGTAAGTCCTGTATAGCTCTATCGCAATTTCATTTGTTTTAAACCCATAGTGTCGTAAATCCGTTTATTTTAAAACCTTTGCATAAACTCGCGAACAAAAAAATGAAAAATAAACAGGTTAACTTGGAAACCAGGCAATATTAATCAGTTCAATTTGACGCTCCATTGATTGAAAAATAACCCCCTGTGGCCCCATCGACCATCGTCGTCATATTCATACACTTAATTAAATTTGTGGCTGGCGAAAGTGAAATGTAACGACATTCGCCGGCGAAACGTGAAATGTTTGTTATGAATGTAAACAATATTTTATATATGTATGTGTTTTTAAATGGAAGTAGAGGCTCCTGGCTGCAACAACGTCAGTTGGCGAGTCGGTCAGTGGTCACACATGGCGTATGAAATATGCGACGCTTTGGCCACAGGTAAAATTGTCACGTTTTTAATTAAACGGGCGCCCAAAGCCCAACAACCAGCAAACAATCGTCCAATAATCAATGACCTGTTCCGTGACAATAAAATGGGTAAAAATATAATTATAATTATAAATAAAAGTTTTATTGGGTGCGTGCCTGAAATGTGTAACTGAAACATATCATTGTGGTGTAACCACTTGTTGGAATCTCCACATTCTATGCAACAATTGAGTTCGTTGCTAATTAAAAACATTTAAATAAAATTGTTTTCCACCACCTGTATTTCTGTTGCTAATTAAAAATTTAAGCTTTAATAAACAAACTTATTGCTGTATTTGTTATTTTAAAAAAACATGGTATTTAAGTGGCATACTTAAATATATTTCTTTTTCCATTGATTGACAGCTCAAGCTAAAATATACGTAAATTTAAAAGGGTAATTATTTTTTGCCAATGTTAAATTGATGTCTTTTGAAGAATATTAATATAACTACATTAAGTAAATTTTTTAAAATTAACTAAAACTGGTTTTATTGACACTGTATATCTTTCAATAATTATTAATACGTGGCCTAATAGATAAAATAGTTCGAGATACTTTAGAAATAAATTTTAAATCAGTTTGAGCTGGTTTGATTTTATAATGGTTCCACAGATTTGGTTCAAAGTTCATACATATTAGTTTCCAAGTAAGATCCCTTTAACTACTCTCACTGATGGCTTTTAAAAACATTATCATTTGGCCTGATTCTCGAAATAGAACGGTGAGCCTTTAATAGAAGGCACACACACGCAATCCCCACACCCAGCCACGCCCACATTTTGACAAGTCATTTGGCAGCTCGTTGAAAAAAGGCCAACTTAATTGTGTCACCCACCTTTAGGATTTAATTTTAGAGAGCCAAGACGATGGTAAACGACGATACAACAATTAACGAGGTACAAAATCATTTCATTGTGTTTGTCAAACGTTGCGACCGACCGAAAGCGCCTAAAAGCCAAGGGCGATAAGTTTTTTTATTACACCTGAGTGGTGCCCGCATGTGGGCCCCGTACTACCTATAGGTATATATCTGTGTGTGCCGAGACTCATTAAAAACGAAAGAGAGGCTCATTACCTGGCCGAGAGCAGAAACGGGAATAAACCAACACGCCGGCCCACATGGGAAAACAAACGATTTTTGAGCCGTCGACTTTACGCTCAAACACCCATAAACCCACCCACAACAAGTTTGGATGTGTGTGGTGTATGGTTTTAATTACCTTCGGTTTCACCCTTCTCGCTGTCGTTCGACTCGTTGTTTAAGTAATTGTTTGTCATTAGTTAAAATGTTTTCATTGTGCTTCGTACTCGATGGACTCGGTCTGGACAAACGAGTTCATTTGGCACAGGCAGAAAAAATATCAAATTGTCCAAAATTCTGGCCAAAAATGATTATAACAATCTAATATTTTGGTAATATCGGTTTCGTTAATGATTTTGTGATACAGTAAATGCTTTCTTGATCTTACTACTTAAGAACTGTTTTACGAAACTATAATTCTCAACAGGTTCTAGTTTTGCTTTCATGGTAAGCCGAGAAAGATCGGTGAATGAGTTAGTAAGTTTCGGATAAAATCAGTTAGCGTTTAAGGTTTCTTAAAACCCATTTTTTCCCCAACAACTATCTAAAAGTTTTAACTATTTTAAAATTATACGATTGACATTTTTTCTTAAAGTCCTTTTTAACCTTTAAAGTTATTAAATTATTCGAAAAACTAAATATTTACGTGGTTATTAACTATCATTTCATAAAATAGGTTCATTATATTTAGCGGGCGAATAATATTATACACCTATTTTGAATTAAACTGTTCGTATAATTTTTTTAGCTGAATAATCGATAAGTAGGTATAGTTCTGTATCCGCTGCATATCTTTCAAATGTCGTTTGCTTTATCCAGCACAAGTAATCTGTGCTTAGAACCTCATCTCGGTTGTGCTTAGAACTGATCTATCATCAGTCTACAGACACTCGGCCCACACAACAAGTCGTCTCGACATATCGAGAAAAATCCGTTCTGAATTCATCCCCACATACCATTACTCTTGTCGATCATTCGCAGACCTCCGGAATGGCCTTCGTAGCGCGTCGGAGCAGCGATGGCTCGGTGGTGGATCGTCAGCAGGTTTCCGGAAGGAGCACTCTGCGTCCTTTGTCCCTGTCGGATATTAGTGACGAGGATTCGGAATCGGTGCTGGGCTATACGAACCGCACTTACGGGGCTCCCACCGTGAGATATGTGGGTCAGGGTGAGAATGATAATGATATGGAAAGCGGAATGGATACCGAATCCAAAGAATTGACTGAGGATCATATCGAAGATGCGGACCTACAATTTGAGGACTCTTTGGAAGATCCAGCCGACGTTTCGGGCAGTGAAACGGATTCGATTCTCAGCTTTTGTCATCAACTGGAGGAGGAGGAGGCCAACGATGCCAGGCGCAGTGGTATGATTAACTATACAGACGAGGATCTGGAAGACGTTGATGATGATGTGGATGCAGAGGATGTAGAGTATCAGAAGAGCATGGGCAAGGCGGAAGATGCGACTGTCACGGATACGGAGACCGTGATGAACTTCGATCAGGATGTGCTGAGTTTGAGCTCCTTTGACAGCTGCACGCCAACAGTGACACAGCGTCCAGAGGATCTGGATAATCTGAGCGCCAAGACCTTTTTTAAGCAAGACGTGATGGAGGACAACATCAGCAGCAAGACCTTCTTCAAGCAGGACAAACTGGATGGTTTCAGCGGGAAAACGTCCTACAAGTCTGCCTTAAAGGATAAAAGGCAGCGATCACCTGTGGACCTTGAACCAGATCAGCTTTCCAGTCGCACCTACAATCTGAGCAATGGGGGGAGTACGAGGGGCAGCAATCGGGGAAGCAATCGGAACAGCAATCGTCTCCATGATGGATCCTCCCTGTCCACCTGCAGTTGGTCGGAGATGTATGGCGGTGCCCTGCAGCCCGCCGATGGGCGGAGCAACATTGTGCCCTCGCTGAGCTTGGCCAGCGCCACCTCTGACACTTCGACCTACTTCAAGAGTCTGGAGGAGAACAAGGAGCGCCAGGGACAGGCGGCCTTCGAGGATTGGAAGGCGCGGAAGGCGGCCCAGAAGCAGAAGACCCTGATGGCCGCCAAGAAGGAGCAGGAGAAACGGGAAGCGGAGGCGGCTCTCCGCCAGAAACTGTCCCAGGAACGCTTCCAGGAGTGGTGTCGCCGCAAGGAGGAGCAGCACCAAAAGCAACAGAAGCAGCAGCAACAGCAAATGCAGATTCTCCGCAAGAAGACCACGACCTCCAGCCAGTCTAGCTCGGGAAACTCCTCAGCCTCCAGCTTAATTTCCGGTTGCGGATCTGGCCACGCCTTCGGATCCAGTTCCGGTCTGGGCTCAGGTGCTGGTCCTGTGAAGAAGGTGCCGCCGGAGGTCACCAAGAAGAGGATCAAGGAGTGGGGGCGCATCAAGGCAGAGCAACAGCAGATCGAAAGGGAGCGTCAGAAGAGGCTGCAGGACAACAAGCAGAAGCTGGAGGAGGAGCGCAGGGAGCGTTCCCAGGGCGCCTGGAAGAACTGGATGAAGCAGGTGGACAAGCGGGCCAAGCCGGTGCCCCTCAACCAGGGCTTCGATACCCTGCGAGGCACCATCTCCAATATCTACATTAATCCCGTGCAGTGGGTGTCCAACATTGATCCGCAGGACTCTGGACGGAGTCGTTAGGGTGGATGGGGACTGGGACATTCATAAGTTCGTTACACCATCGCCCATTCAAGATGAAACTGGTTTAGTAAGTCTGGACGATATCGCTAGGGTTGCTGGGCCAACCAATTAATTATTAACCTACTATATATTTGTTTTTCGGATCGTGGCGGTGGATCCCACATTATTTTAGCTTCGCAAGTTGACCAATAAACATTATCAGCACCTTTAATTATACGAGTATGTTGTATTTGTTTATTACAGATCCACGAAAGAATTACCGACCCTTGATTAGTTCTTCTTTTAAGCTTAAATCGTATTTAATGAACAAGAAGAAATCGTTCTTGAATCAAGAACTTTGTTTTTTGGTAACTTTTTGGTAACTTTACCATTTAGTTCTTGTATTAAACAGAAATCATATTTGAAGAACAAGGTTACGAAGACACACAATTCAAGAGGAAATCGTTCTTGAATCAAGAATTTTGTTTTGGCCAAGTGTTGACCTGAAAATTGGAAATAGAAAAGAGTTGTTTACTATAGCTTGCCTTCCTATACATAATTAGCATAATTTATCACTTTTAAACCTCTTTTCCAAGGAAGATTAAATTGTAAAAAAGTAATCTTGATTTTGCTTAGTATTAAATAAGAACGATTTGATTTTGATAGGCGTTTAGATTAAGAAAAGCGCATTATACATTCCAAAAGATCCTGTTTAAACTCTCTATATGTATACTTGAACATAACATTTTAGCATTTGTGTGTATTTTGCATTGAAGTGTATTTCTCACAGACCCAAATATGGCAATTAAAATAGTTTAAGCGGCAACCACGAATGGTGCCATGTGGCTCCACTTAACGTACACACTGCGAGAAGGTTAATAAAAGCCGTGCTCAATGCGTCCCACGGAAGAAACTTAAAACGATAACCTTTGGCCTGGGGCTGTTATGGTTATATCCCTCACCCTCCCCAATTCCAGAGTCTGAGGACACTGCACTTCCTGGCTGCCTTTGCTGTCCTTGTGTTTTGTGGACCATTGCCGTGTTTGTTTCATTACCCATCTCCCCATTATTGTGTGCGTTTGTGTCAATTTGTGTTTTTATTATTTATTTGCCAGGTCCATGGGGAGTCGCTAGGTGGTGGAGCAGGCTTAATTAAGCTTTTTTTTTCCTATCCACCCTGGTCGTCTGAGTTTTATTTATGCAATTAACCAAAGCCTCGTGTAATATGGTCCCGTTAGGTAAAAATCTTTGATTAATTGTAGTTTTGTTTACACGATGGGAGCGAGTCGGACATGATTATGTGGTCTATCTGGCAGTGTCCAAGAAAAGGGGCTTATGGGTTTTGGGATGACGTGGGTGAGTGCGAAGGTAGGGTCTTTCAGGTGATTAGTCCTTTTAGTTAGCTGGCAATTTGTTTACACGTTTTGTGAGCTCCTCTAATCGCTTTCAGGCCTCTCGTCATTAGCACTATCATTATTTTGTGGGCCTCTGATAATGGTCTCAATTCAAAATGTCTTGTCTTGAGATATGTTCCTTAACTGGGTCTTGTTTGGTTGATTGTATGGTAATGATGATAAATAAATTGGGATCTTTTGAGGCTTGTCTATTTCAATTACCCCTTGTATTTATTTATGTATATTTTCTTTTCCATAGTGGCTTTGTATTCAGATGGATTACTCATATGTAGGCAACTTTGTCCAGGTCACGAATGCTTCTTTTTCCCCCAACTGCTATGCAACTTTTCTTACAAAGCCATAAACTTTAATACGAAATCGTAAAATTTAGGGACAATTGCTAAATGGGGACCTTCTCATATGAGGATGGCGTAATCATGGCTGGCACAATGACAAAATGTTGATGCCGGCACAGATTTTTACGACTGCCCATAAATTAACAAACCATTTTCGACCAAAGCTTTCGAAGTATGTTTCTTGCCTGCAAATATTTAAAAATGTTTGCAAAGCATTTAAATAACAATTAAGAGCACGCACGTAGCCACAAATAAAATAAAACAATTATTGTAAAACAAAATACAGAATGCGGATTAGCGCATTTTGTCCATTCGGTTGTGTTTTAAATGCAAATCAAAGGCGACGAAAAAAAAAGTAGGACGAAAGCGAAAGCTTGCCGATAATTATAATAAATAACCACAGAAATTGTTTCGAAATGATTTTTTGCACCACGATTCGGGGAGAACAAAAGAAAATTAATAATAAATCTCAAAATGCTCATTAACTTAATTACTGTGTTTATTTTCATTGCCCTTCCTGTTCAGCATTCAACGTTGAGTCCCTGCTTTCCTGGCATTTTCCCACCCTCTACACTTTGTGTGTTGAAATGCTTTCCTTTTGTGCGTCACGCAATTTTTTTGACCCCCTCGGTTGATAAACAACTCAACGCTGAAAAAATAGCCGCAAAACATGAAGAAATTGCGCGTCTTTAACCTTAATGTGTATTTAAGTAATGTTAATTGTACTCTGAGCTGCCAGATGCCATTTGCTGCCGACAACTGGCGCCACCGCTTGAATTTCTCTCGCCCTTCCTCGCAAAATACTTGTAATTATGCTAATATATAAGTTTGCTCCGGGTAGCGTATCTAAACTTGTGTAATTGCTAACTGTTAATTGAATTTCACAGAATGAAGGTGAGCAAGCCAGGTATTAGGAGGAGGCGTTGATACATTTGTAATTTAAGAACCGAATCGAGCGAAAATCGGTCATTTTAAAGATATCCGGAAAGACGAAAACACTTTTAATAAGTTTGAAAAATTGCTGATATCCAAAAATTAAAATAATATAAAAATTAATAACCATTTTTTACTTCAAGCCATAAAGCAATTATATAATAAGAAGCGCTGCAACACAACATTTGAACATTTTTCTAAAATAAATATTTTTGTTGATACGAGTTTTCGTATTTTGACATTATCTTAGGCACCTCTTAAATATAAAATTAATATTTTTATCTTCATTGCTTAAATTCAGTAAAATTTGCTGACAAATTTTTTGTTACACATTAAACTAAGTTTTTTTTTTGTATTTTGCGTAGAATTTCCTCCACCAAAAAATGTGTTGCTTCCCATAAAAAAAAAATGTGCCGCGAATGATCTGAGATCACCCATTTAATGCTTTCGAAAAACTACCTATTTATTAGAAAATATGACCTCAAACTATCAAACTATCAAACTGACCTCATGACTATCTTTAAAATTTAACAAAAATTATAAATGTTTCAAGAGTATCGCATTGAATGCCGCTCTATCTGTACATATTAAATTATTACTTTAAAAAATCTGTTTAAGATTCTGCTCATTAAAAGAATTTAAATTTAGTTTTCCTTTGCTAACGTGCCTTAAATATTTGGAAAATAATGTACACTACGATGTATGTGATGATGTGTATCATGATGGTTATTTAGGTCAATTTAATATATTGGTTTTGGCAACATGAACCTTCTGAATTTTTTCTCTTTTAATACTTACGTCCACCAATCTTTAAATTTAAAGAGCTGTATGAAGCTGTCCAATATCGTTGAATGCCTGCCATGCAAAAGAATTAAATTTTGATCATATTTTTTTTAGCAAGCAGCCAACGTTCAACTGCACCAGGCCGGTCGGCCACATAATACCCCAGAAACATTTTGACATTATTAAAATCGAAAATATTTAGGTCATTTGGGCAATGGCTTCGGTTAACGTTACCCAATCGCCCGTCGGGTAAATGCATATTTACAACACTTTAACCTTGAGATTTATATGGATTATATGCAAAAATGTCTGTCAGATATACCCATGGGTCATGGCACTCCGCCACTCGGGCAGGAAAAACACCATGTGAGAGAAAAATCCATGAAAATGCACTAAAAAAGGAGCAAATAGCAACTCACGTAAGCCGAATGGTGCTGCGGTTGCACCTGTTTTGGCATGTCTGAAAATTCCTGGAAACAAATGTAATAAAAACTAGCCGTAATACACACGCACACACACACACAAGCCGGCGAGTCCTTACACTCACACACACAAACTCACACTCACACCGACTGGAAAGGGCTTTTATTAGCCTGGGCTTTTTGAAGAGTTTTCCGAGTTTTCCGAGTAGTATTTTCTAATTTTGGCTTTGCTTTGATGGTTCGGTTTTGCGTGCTAGCCAGCACTTAAAGATTTCTTAATGAAAGCAATTTTTTGTTTTATTTGAAATTTGTAGCTGCTTTTAATTTGGTTTTTTAGTGCCCAGTTAGCTGTATTTGTAATTTATGCTCTCCCTAAGACTTTTTGATGTTTCAAAATAACTTTAAAATCACATAGGTATGATTGCTCCACAATTCAAGCATTGGATCATGAAGGAATGTTATAGTTGACGGCCTCGACTGTAAGATATCCGTTACTTAGTTAAAGGTAGTGCAAGGGAGATGGAGATATGAACTTTTAACTGAATGGTCCGATTTCAACAATTTTTGGGATGTATATAGCTATGGGTAAACAGAATAAAATCCCATTTACACCTAAACAAAATAATACAAATATTTTAGCGTTATGAGCGTTAGAGTGGCACCCTGCTGAATTAAGCTTTCTAGCTTATATAGTTTCCGAGATCTCCGCGTTCATACGGACGGCAGACGTATAAGATCCTGATCAAGAATATATATACTTTATAGGGTCGGTAACGTTTCCTCCTACCTGTTAAATACTTTTCGACGAATCTAGTAGACCCTTTTACTCTACGAAAAACGTGTATGAAAACTGTAGAACTCAATTTTAAGCATACTACTTGTATTTATCGTTTTATACTGATTCATTTTGATTGAAATTAAAAATATATACATTTTTTTTTTATTGAAATTTATTGCCTTACCGTTGTGTTACCCATGTCCCAAAAACAAAAAGACATTTTTTACTTAACACTTTAATGTTAAACTTTTATTTATTTTATAAATATTCCTGTCGATTCGGCAATTCGCTTACACTGTCATGTACATGTGATGCTTACAAATATTCATTAATATTGATATTTGACAAATGTATGTATGTGTTTATAATAGCAATGTAAACATAACTGATATAATTTGCTTTTGTAACAATTCAATTTTGTCTGGAAATATACATTTAGCTATATTAAATAGAGCTTTATTCGCACTTAATCGTGAGATTAATTTTCGCATTAAATTTACTGCCTGTATAGTACTTTTTATATTACCTTTAAATAACTGAAATGTATTTCCGTTGTTGTTTTTTCTTTTTTTCTTTATTAATATTGATTGTTTGTTGAAATGAAACCAAAAAGAAATCGCATTAAATTTATTTTAATTTTAGAACGGTGATTAAATTGGTAAAAAGAGTTAAACATTGTTAAACATTTTAAATTTCAGGAGCAATGAAGCGAGGTAAAGAACATTTAATTTTAGCATTTTTAAAGGTTAAAGTTTTTGAGAAACACAGCCATTTGCTGAGCTAATTAATACATACATTGTGTTTATACATTAAAGCTGTTAAGCTTTTGGCGGATATTTATTTCGGTTTGCAGTTTTGCGATATAGCTACGTATACCGTATAAGGTAGTTTTTACCTTAATAATTTTTAAAGTATTCTTTTTCTTTTTCGAAGACTTTGAAAACTAAATAAACATAAATGAAAAGGTATTATAATATAACTCCTTATGCCCACAGCTGGTTTTTACAAACTCTATATAATACATAACCCCATGCCAACTGCCATTTCTTTACATGCTAGAGTTATACAAAAACCTTGCAATACGTCTATGTACATGTGCAATCTGCGATATTTTACAAGGTTTGCACTGAAGCCCGAAACTAGAACCTTAACTAGAATCCAACAGCGATTGGGAATTAGGAAGCCTAGTTAACTTACTGGCTACAGATGCGCACTGAACCATGGCATTGATATATGTAATGCCGCGTTGACAAACTTTAACTAAAAGCAGCCGCAACGAGCCATAAATCAGCGCCAAGCAGCGTTTGGCATTGACAAACTCAATCATCATTGTGCTGCCACAGACTGCAGATTCTGGTCCAACTGGAGCTCCAGATCCGGCTGCAAGTTCAGATTTAGCGTCGACTCCATGTCCATGTCAACTCGGCGTCTGTGTCAAACATGCGTCAGTGTTTGTGGCGGCAGTGTCATCTGAGTTTTCCTCATCACTCCGTCCGTCGCAAGTACCATGGTTAGGGCCACTGCCATTGGCAGGAGCAGGACGAGCAGACCGCCGAGGTCCTGCCGCCGAGTCCCTGCTGCGGAGGATCCGTAAATGCTGTCGATACTCTCCGCACTCAGACTCAAATCGGCTGTGGGTAGGGGAGAAAGAGATGGAGACGGAGACAGTCGTATGTTAATGGGATGGTTTGGGGCACCAGCGGAAATTGGATAAGGCTTTTGAGTGAACTGATTAGCTGGCCAGGTCGGGGTTATGGTTTAGTCGGTGGGGGAAATAGCTCGTCCTGCGGTGGCTATGAGTCCAGAACCACAGGCACTTTCCAATTTTCAATGTTAGGTTCGTAAACATTTTTCAAAATACCTAAAGACCCATGACTCCGTTTTGTGTTATTGATAACAAAAGACGAAATATAGAATTGTTATACTCGCAATAGCAATCGGTTTAATAAAATGGACCTTAGCTGAACAGTTATGACCTAATCGAAGTGAAAGTCCTTTTGACCATTTGACGCTTGCCTGAAATTTTGACTAACTGACTAAACCAACTATTATCTGTGTATTAATTTATAAAGTGTTGCCATGACTTTTTAGTATAAATCCAGTCAGTCAAAACTTAAAGAGGTCATAGTGCCATATAAATAGGAAATATAATAAATGTTATTTAATTTTTTTTTTCTATGATTCATAAAAAAATCATTAAAATGTAAAGGCAATTTTTTTTACTATGATTCATACAAAAATCCTTGAATTTATTTTAAATAATTTTACACTTAACTCCCATCTTTTCGTAACTATTTAGTTTTGAACTATTACATTTTAAATCATATTTAAATCTTAAGTAAAATTAATTCACTAAATTTCTTCACTTTAAAAACTTTTTAATTCCCCATAATCGTATTTAACGTTATATCAAAATAGTGCCTTAAAGATTTAATGGAGCATAGCAAAAATCCTTCTTAGTCCTAATTTATTGAGCTTCAAAATAAAGTTCTTCTCTCGCCACTCATTTAATCGATAAAAAAACCAAAGCACGGGAATTTCAACTTTCGGCCACCAACGACCAGGAAAACATTTATTTGATTGTGGCCAAGTATTTACAAATCATTAAATTGCCATAAAGCCAAGCCGAGCGTGTTTATTGATATACAATTATTGCCTGAGACTCAGAGAATAAAGAAAACTTTTACCTGCTACCTGGCCCCAAAAAGTATGCTACGATTTTCCTCTTTGCTCAGTGGGCCGTCACTCCTCACTTTTTTGGGGGTCTTTCCTTTCTCCCTTTTGCAAATTAGTGTGAAAATCTGTTAAACAGTAGGGTAGCTGGGTCCCCTTTTTTATGGCATTCGTCCCGTCTCAAGTGGCCTGTTAAGCTGGACCCAAACCGCAGGCAAATGCTTGAAATATGGCCCATAACCCTAATCGGCACGCCGCACTCGCCGCACTTTCTCTCTCTCGGCTTTCCTTTTGCTACCGGTCTCTTACCTTTTCTTTTTCCTGGATTTTCCGTATCCTCGCCACTGTGCTCCTGGGCCCTTGCCGGATGATGGGACTCCGAGCCTTTCGTTCGCTTCTTGCCTGTGCAATGAGAAATTATTGAATTGTGGTTAAGTTTATTAGGGCCTCGCCACCACAGAAGCTGAGTATTTGAGTATCTTTAAATTACTGCCCAAAAAGGATTCGCATCGCCGTGATGCATATTCATAATAGACCTGTCGCTGTTTGCTGCCTTTCAGTTCCGTACCCCCATCCAAACTTTTAGCTTTGACCTCAACCACAGCAGCTTCCACTTCCCCTTCCACTCGTCTGCCTGCCAGGTGAATCCTGATCCGTGGCGTTGACGATTTGAAACGGATTTGCATGGCATATGAATTATTTATGCGTTTTTTTCTCGCCTTCTACTTTTTCGCCCAGCTTTATATTTCCCATGAATCCTGCCCCGCCAAGTTGAGTATTTCCAGCTCATCTTAAATTTATGCCAAGTGGCTATTAAATTTTGCTTTTCTCGCGCTCTGTCTCGTTTATCCTACTTTTTGGTGTTGGGTAACCCCATTTTTCAAAACAGGTTCGAAAGAAGGGTATTTGAAGTGAGAAATTTGTAACATCTTAAGAAAATATTTTACTAGAGTTGGGAAAGCATCGGTAATGGGCACCATTGGTGCTATCGGTGATATCGAAAATTGTTTAACGTCTAAGAATATAAATGACATATGAAAAAAACTAAGGAATATTAAAATATTTTTATAATTTAAAGCATTAATCTTAAGATTTGTTATTAAAAAATTCCAAAAAAATCATTTTTTGCTGACCGATAGTTAGATATTTGATAAATTTTAAAACCATCGATTAAATCGATAGTGCTATCGTTTATTTTGGCAACCCTAGTTATTTTTCTAAAAGCAAAGTAATGCCCAAATGTTATTACAGTTCTTTAACTCACCTTTGTGCCTGGCCTCAAAGTTCTCCACATAGTTGACCGCATTTGGGGGTATTCCTGTTGGCGATGAAACCCAACTGAATTCGCAACTCAACTACAAGGGGTTCTTAGAAATACTTACTATACAGCTTAATTGTACCATCCGTATCGCCAAGGGAATTCTTTGCCACGCACCGATAAGCCCCGAATTCGGCCTGTGTAAGGGGATTTATGTGAAGCCGCATTGAATTGCGATATCCACCAATTTCCGTGACATTTGCAGAGTATTTGCCACCTGAAATGTGCCCGCAGCAAGGGAAAGGTAGGGGTTGGTTTGATTTCTGAGTTAATATTTCATTAAAATAATAAACTAATTAATATTTAATTGAAATTTTGCGTTATTTAATAATTAAATGCATGTCACGCGCACATCGACCGTAAGTACGGGCTGGCAAAAGTTTCAACAATGTTGCTGACAGGCATAAATTTATGCACGAACTCATGTCACACCGGAGGCCCGAGTGGGTTGGCTGATTCGGTTTTTCTGGTGTCAATTAAAATCTGCCAGAAACAAAATTGTAAATTAATTTAATTTCCACGTTATGACAACGGCTGCGCATACAGCACATCCCCAACTTCAAGCCATTGCATTGCCATTGCCATCGCCGTTGCCATAACCTCTCCTGCCGACATTCGGGAAACCGCAGGACTGTGGTCCTGCCAGGCAAGGATCTCCGTGTTAGTTAGTGCCAGCGCGACTAAATCAGCTAATTAACAACTTTTTTCGGTGTGTCTGGCACTCGGCGGTCATCAGTTTGTTAGCTAGTCGTATGCTCCGCTGGGAAAGCTGCGAACTTTTCCTCCAAGGGATTGCTCGCAAGTCTGATTTGGCTTCGGGCTTAGTGCTAATGTGCTAATGTGCTCGTCACGGTTTACGACCTTTTAAATGTCCCCCAGCACTCACTGAGTGTCGGGTAATAAAATGACGCTGCTCAATACAAACATGTAGTTTAGTTTATGCTAAGAGATCATTTTAACTTTACAACTAAATAGACAGTTAAGTGTCTTTTTAGTGTACTGTAGCATAGTCTAACTGAAGCTATATTTAGGACAATTTACGATTAGATTTCACCATTTAAATCTTTTTTTATTGAAACAAAGTGATATTAATGCTTAAAAATGCTCAATACATATATTTAGTTACGTTTATGTAGAGATATAATTTTTAAAAGAAAAAGAAAAACACCTTTAAGTATCTTTTTGAATACGCTGTAGCATGGTAATTCTGTATAAAAAAGCGTTTACGTTGAGAGTTCAATATTTAATTGAATTTTCCTAGAAAGAAAATGATTTCGAGTGCCAAAACCGGAAAAATAATTCAAATGCAAATTTTTCCGTAACCTACATTATATATGAATAAATGATCAATGATTTTTTCTGGTCGGTTTATAAAATGGATAAATAAAATAGTTGGGTTTAAACCAAGGAACTTTTGGTCTGGATTTTCCACCTACTTAACCAGCTAACTATCTATTTCTATTAGTAGCTGACAAACTTCTCACCTGGTGGCACAATCTCTCCGCGTTCCCTGGTCCAGTAATTAATCGACTTCGGAAAGGCCTCAGACTCGCAGTCCAAAGTAACTCCTTTTCCCTCTACAGCTCCAATAAGTTGGTTTTGTACAGTGATCATTGGTGGGACTTTAATGGGATATAAAGAAAAGTATGTTTATATATTACAAATATATGTAGATACAAGAATTACTTAAAACTTACAGTGCACAATGAGCGTTATCCTTTTGCTCACCGAGGGCGGAACTCCGTTAGAAGCTATACAGAGGTAGGCCCCCATATGGTGACGTCTTACGTTCGGAATTATTAGATCAGTGCCTTCGATACTCATGACTGAAAATATAAATTTAAAAGTATTCTAAGGCTGTACTATGTGATTATAAAAGCAAAAATAAATGATATATTTTAAGTTTTAGCAATAATTTGCTTTAATTGTTATATGAAAGTACAGTACACATAATTTTTATAACTCAATTGAACTCACAGAGGTAATATTCTAATATCGGTTTATAAATAAACAAGTGAAATAATATATAGAAATTGAAATATATAGAGTTTGTCCTACGTAAGCTTCTCATTCTGTTAAGTCCCTACAAAAACGTAATATTGCAGTTATCAGGTTTTTGCTAAATGCAGGATATATCAAAAAGATTCGTGTTGCATTTCGTTCATTGGCAGTTATACCCTCTTAAAAAGTTATTTGTTGGATAAACGGAAATACTCTGTTGTAATTACCTCCTAACAACAAAAGTATGAGCCAAACTTTTCCATTATTACAGTAGTAATAACATTTTTCTAAGCTCTGGAGCTCTGGTGCTGGGCATTCAACAAAAGTTGAGTGCAACACAACCAAATATATATGTACTAAACGCTGGTGACTTTTTATGGCACTGCTCGACATTTTTGTGTTTCCAACAAAAACATCCTGTTATCATAGTCGAACCGAGGCTGGCATTATATAAACGGCATTGAGGCTGGTTTAAGCCGGCAACACCACAGACGACACAGACTGCTGTTTGGGTGCACCGGAACCGGAAGTTCTGGCTAGTTTGCGCTTGATATGGTTAGGTTAAATTGTGGCACATAATAATATGCTGATTTTTCGTTTATTGATTTGGTCCTTTGAGCCAGGGTCCATTTTTAGTCCAACCCAGTCGCTTATTAGCCGAACCCCCAACTGGAGTTTTTTTTTTCCTCTGCGGTTCCGACGGTTCACAGTGCGGTCATTAAACGTAATAGCCACGAAATACGTGTAATTTTGTTTGAGCCCCGCCATGGCATAAAACTTTACTTCTGTTCACCCGATTTCATTTTATTTCACAGCAGCGACGAACACGGAACGAAATAATCAAATTTCAAATGAAACAAACTTTGGTCAGGAAAGCCAAAAGGGGGCTGAAAACAATAGAGTAAAGTGTAAAAGGAATGGGAAATACTCTATGGTTAAAAAATTAAAGAAACTTATTTATTAAGAGCAAGACTAAACATTTTTAAATTTTAAACAGACTTAGGGATGAACTTAAGAATACCAAATTATATGGTATTATAACTTATATATATACATACATGGCTTTGCTTTTTTTGAAAATTGGTCAGTCATGGAAAGGATTTCAACGAATAATTGTGATTTAATTTTAATCCTTTTAAAATGAAAAAACAATTAATTATATAATTTAAATTATGTAGTATTTATCCGTGATGATTTTACATATTTCCAACAAATTATTGTTAGTTATCTAACAACTGTTGATGAAAAAATACTTAAATTGCAAGATAATTAGTTTGTATTAGGCTTATCTTAATTCAAATTGCTCGCATGAAATGCAAACGAATATTTAAAGCTAGGATGTATTCGTATTATACACTCTCCATCACCGACAAACTTTATAGCGCCCCCGGACTTCCAATCTTGTCTAGCCCTCTGACTTGCCAAACACAAACACACACGAATGGAGCCGGTGAAAGGGGAAATGTGAAAGGGGCAGTGCAGTTAGCCGGACAGGAAGCAGACTCGTTTGGCCGAGAAAGGGCTGAATCGGGTGGCAGCCATTTAAGCCCCGGCGAAAAGGTCATTTTGCCAGCTTTTTGTTCTCTTTATGCTGATTTTTTTGCATCCACTCATTTAGCCGTATGACTTTTTTTTCGGTTTTACGTTTGCTGTTTTGGGGCTTTTTACGTTTTCAGGGGATCTTTTCTGCAGCACCTTTGATTTGAGTCCAGTTAATGTTGTGCTTTCGCTTCTTTTTTGTGCCCCATGGTATATTTTTGTTATTTCCTTTATAATGTCAATGTATGCTTACTGGAAAGGTTTTTATAAATAACATGAGGAAATAAGTTTAAAATTGCTATCCCAATACCTTGTATTTCAAATTCTACAAATAAAAATGGAATACAGACTTAATGTTTTGTGCAACTTTGGATTAATTCATGTAGTTTATACATATTATTTGAAATTGTGTTTAAAATGTATTACCGAAAACAGATTATTCTTGTTACCGAGTAATCATCATTTAATGATAATGCAACTTAATAATGGGGTATGCTTATTTTCCTAATTAAGATTTTAGATTTAACATAATTAATTGTTATTACTATAAACTGTGCTTAACATATTAAACCAAATGTATTACTAGTAAAAATATTATGCTGTTCTCAAACAAACCACTTTTTAGTTATAATGAATCCTGTTTATGGGGCCTGTTACTTTCCAAATAAAGAACTTCGATTTAACATAATTAATAGTTATTTTTATAAATTGTGTTTAATATACCAAGCCAATTGTGTTTCCAGTAAAATATTATTTTGTTCACAAACAAACCGCTTTTTAATTATATTGAATCCTGTTTTTGGGGCCTGCTAACTTTCCAAATTAAGAACTTCCAATTGGCAACTCCTCTCGACTGGGGAACACTTCAAGGCCAATTAGTAAATCTGGTCTGCTCCGACCGCCAGCTCGCCACCACCAACGATCGCCCCCAAACCATTTGCTAATTCTGTCAGTCAGACGTCATCATCATCAACAGCCAAACTGGCAAACTGGCGAACTGGGCAACAGAAGGGGGCCAAGCTCTCGCATGCTGGCCTTACTGCAGTCGGCAGGTGCAGGTGCCATGGCCACGAATTGGGTCCACCCTACACCCATTGCAACCCATTGCCACCCACCACTCGATAGCCTTGGGCAGGACTCGGCCTAGGGACAGCCTGCAGCTATAACTGCTGATGGGCAACTCGGTTGCCGCTGCCTTTTTGTGTAAAAGTACTCCAAAATGTTGGATGGCAAACCCCATGCAGGCGGTGGAGTCGGCAACAACAGCAACAGCAAAGGTACTTACAAATCAGAGGGGTGGGTGCAAATAGGGGTGGCCTTGCTGTACTGGGAGAAACTGAAAAAAAGCTAAGGGCAATTTTTTCCATCAGAAAAACTATCTGAAAAGGTCGAGCTAATATGACCTAAAAGTAGGTTCAGAGTCAGAACTTCACAAGCACAATATATTTTGGTAAAAACTCTCGTTTTATGATTTCAACCATTTTTGGCAATTTGAAGCATATGTATATTCAGTACGTTATATAGTATTATACTACGTTATACTACGTTATCAAAGTAAACAAACAAAAATATTAAAATCTCTATCAGAAACAAAAGCCTACACATAAACAACTATTTTCAAAAAATATCCGACTTAAATTTTTTGATGTAAGGAATCAAAAAGCTATTAAAAATCAGATTGGTATAAGGACTAAGGATATTTAAAATTCAACAAAGTTTTTGAAGAGAATTTCTGCCAAACAATTGTTTGCAGTGGAAAACAGATCTTCATTAGATTTGATCTATTGATCAAAGTATTCAACATAAAGCAAGTATATGTCAGTATTGACACTATGTAATATACAGGGGTGTCACAGCACTTAAACGCTAATTCGTTTAAAATGTATAAGAGCTTCGGGGGTTCAGCGCCTTGCGATTTCCGTGCCACCCCCCGTAGAAACCACTAGTTATAATAATTTTCAGTCAGTGCTGCCATATCTAGCCTTATTTAGGACAAAGATATAGTTCTACAATGGTCAAAAAAAATTTTTAAATTCAATATTTATTATACCTGTCCCATTGCCTGTTCCTATCCTTTTAAAACAATTATTTTTGTTCCTTCTTTTCGATTTAATTCCATAATCACTCCTTTTGTAAAAAAAACTCTGGAATCAGTGTTCAATAAACACAGTTCATGCGAGCAACCAAACGAATACAACATTATCTGTGTAATTATAACAGATTCCAAGATAATTTTTGATACTTCCTATAGCAGCTATATAATGTTGGCGACCGACTTTTCTACAATTAATCTGGATATTCTTTTGTATGTCAGCAATATGATATAGTCATCTAAGTTAAATTCGATATTCTAAAATATTTAAAAAATGATATTCTAAAGAGTAGAATAAGATATTTCAAAAATAATTTTTCATTTCATTTTTCTATTATCTATTGGAATCGTATATTTTTCAACAGTAAACACATAAAACAAAATTTAAAATTTCCTTCTTAACAGTTACCTTAAATTGTTGTCAGTGCGCTGCACTCTTACAGCACAATGTGGGCCTCGACTTACCCTCTTCTCCGCTGGCCAGCTCGATGGGCACTCCACTTTCACGTCGCCATGTAATTGTCGGCTCTGGCGAACCGGTAGCGGCGCATTTGAGCGTCACGTTACTGCCCTCGCGAACGACCATGTCCGTGCTCGTAGGATAATCTAGGATATCCGGCGGTACTGCAGCCAGGAACAGCAGCAGCAGCACCATTCACCCATCGGTTTGCCATCGAGGTCGCCAGACGTTGGTCGTGGTTAGATAATATTTATAACAAACATTGCAAAAATAATGCATTCCACATGTAAAGAGAAAAAGAAGGGGGGAAATGGAAGAGATGGGAGAATTTAAAAGCGAACTGCAATCATTTTAAATAATTTAAATTTGTGATTCTTCATTTAAATAATTAGCTCGGATTGTTCGGATGGCGGGTTCTCGGGTGGCCAGAGGCAGTGATTCATTCGCGTCCGCCGCCAACGGATATTCCCGCCTGCACTGGACCCTCTGGCGATATGGGGTCTCCCCACTCCACGCATTTGCCTTTGTTTTAAGGACAAACTTTTCACATGTCCCGAAACACACAAATTATTACAACCGTCGCTGCGGTAAGGACAGCGGACAACGGACAACGGACAGAAAGGCGGACGGACACCCACAGCGGAAAACCTATGAACCGTGAAAACGTAATAATACCAGGACGAGGGCTGGTCCCTGGATTGTATGCATATAATATCCCGCAATTATGTGGTCGGTAAATGACCAAAAAATGTGCTGGTGTTGACAAACAGCTTGTTAAGCTCGCCAGCGAGTGAGTCAGTCTGTGTGCTGGCCGGTGACCACTGGATGGTCATTAAGTGGCCAAGGTTAGCCTGGGAGCGGGAAAATTGCAGCCCTAGAAATTGTTACTGGACTGGTGGTGGTGGTTCTGGGATCTCGAAATCCATTCGGAATGGTTGGAAAACAAGGCGGGTCCCTGGTAAGTGAAACCCGCGTTGTTGGTCTACTGTAAGATGGTATGCCCGATTTGAATGGTTTAACTTTCAGTTGAAAAAGACTGAAATTTGTGGATATTTGGTTATGAATATTTCAACTGCTTAAATGTTCCAAAAGCCGGTCCTATGTGCACATCCTGAATGCGTGCACGTGGATGTGTGGAAAGAATACGGTAGACAAGAGGGGAGCCATTGGAAATCCAAAAAGGTGAGAGCTGTGCCGCTTCCGCCACGGTTTGTCGTCGACTATTTAACTGCACTCGGTCACGAAAATCATCAGCGACCACCGTCCACAATCCACCCTCCACTTGTTCGAAACTCGAACGTTTCCGTGGCCGATTTCCCGGCTCCTCTGGATTTTCCCTCGCAACCATTTCAAGCGGGTTACAGTGGTATCAGTTTTTTCAAGGCCTATAAATAAATTCCTAGTCTAATCAAACACTATAAAAGAACAAAACAATACCATTTTGTAGATTTTAGATAAACCTATTGCTTGTTATGTATATTTTAATATGGAAGCATTTAAATATTTTATACTTCCTTACAATATTATTTTTATTTTTGAAAATTTTGAAAAGTAAGAAAAAATTGTGACTTTGTTCGGATTTAATTTTACTAACACTATTATGATAGGTTATGGCTACATGACACTAGCTTGAACTTCCACCAACAGATTTTTAAAATTTAAAAAAATGGGTGACCCTTGAATATGTTCGGGCTTATTGTTACTTACATTATTAAGATAGGTTATGGCCATATGATACTGGCTTTAATTTCCATTAACAGACTGGATTTATTTTAAGAACCTCCAGCAACCTATAGCATATCATCAAAAATGTATGTTCTGATTGAATGTATAAGTATCCCTATTTTCTGTAGCCTGCATGACTTTTTAAGTAAATCCGTTCAGATAGTCGAAACTTAAGTGTCATATTGCCATAAGGACCTATATACTTTCTATTATACATTATTCTGTTATATTCTACTAATTTTCAATTTTATTATTCTCTTTATTCCACTTCTACTGACATTTATTAGATTTCTTTAATTTGGTTTTTCACTATTCAATGCACTTTGGCCCACTGTACACCGCCCGCTGATTATCCAGTGCAAATACACACAGTTGATTATACTTTTTCGTGTTTGCCGGTGAATGCCGCGCCGACTGCAACGGTGGCTAAAATATTTAGCGCTTTGATTTAGATTTGCCAGCGAGAGGTATTTAGGCAGTTGAGTGGGTTTGGCTGCTATAGGGGGGCTACGTCGGAATGGGGGCAAACCCGACCGCAAATGGACAGCCCAAATGTGCCCGGTGAACACTTCATAGGCCGGGAGTATTTCTTACGATGCCTCTCGCCGCTGCGTTGCCGTTTTAATTCAAAATCAACAATTTCTGCGGTTCAGTGGACGGTTAAACATGTTTAAGCACTCGCAATGGAAAGTCGCCTATGGGGAACTCTGTTTGCAGAGTTTCTGGGTCCCCGAGTTCCCGGTTTCCCGGTTTCCTGGTTCTCTGATTCCCTGGGTTCTCGCATATTAGCCGGCGGTACTTAATAAGCCTCGGACTCCCATACTCGGCCAAGTGCTATTCTCTCTTTTTGCGCACAGCAGAAACGTTTTGTTCTGCTTATTTCTTCTTTTTGCATTTAATTTTTTAATATTTCTGTTTCGCGAAATACGGTTCGAACAATGGGAGAGCCAGGCAAACCGGCAACGAGGCGTATGATTGTTTGGCCACCGAAACGTAATGAGCAAAAAATAAACCTCTGGCAATTTGGGCCCCCCTTCACCAACTTACCCACAACATCAAGGTAGCCCATTTGGCTTTTCATCGGGTCCGTGTTGATTTGGCACATGTACCTGAAATATTCCCAATTATCATGACGAATCGGTGAATTCACTTAATGTACGTACCATCCTTTGTCCGACTCTTTAATGTCCTTAATGCGCATTGTCCAGGTTTTGTGTTCAGAGTTGGCAATGCCAATGCGTTGATTTTTCGTTATAACATGATTTTGTATAGTGAGGATTGTCTGGGTGTCGACCCGCAGCCACGCTACCTGTTATAAAGAAGATTGGGTAATTTGAAAATTAAATACTTTTCTTGAAAAGTTATAAACGGCATCTGGTTTAAAAAAGCCAGTGCTGTTCCTTACAGAGTTTTGCTATAAAATTAATGTTTATTGAACACAAAACATGATAGTATTCTTTTCAATATAATACTATTTATATAAAAAAAACTCGATGTTACAAGTTATAACATTATAATATCAAGTTGATACGATTAATTATTGATTTTATATATTCTTTTGACTCAAATAAGAAAAAAGAAGCAATACTAAATATTATTTATTTAAGAAAAACTAACATTTTTGGGTTTGAAAAATTGAAATGTAAAGATTAAACTGTAATACTAAATTTATATTGATCTTATTTTTGTGTCTGTGTAAAAAATCATTATTTTGGTAAATTAGTAAATTCATTTTTAAACGTTGGAGGCTCTTTGAGGCAGAGCTGACGTACATAAAACGTATTATTTCATAATTTTTTAATAAAACATTTCTGCATAATGTCTGTTTATTGAAAAATAAATAACAGAAATTCCCGACTGTTATCACATTCCTGGCTTTTCGTCATCATGAATCCCACTACCAAATTGAACATAACGAGCATGCAACGCTGTTCAATTATACACAAAAAATCTATTCCCAGAACTATTCAAGAAATTTTAGCCCACACGCACACACTGGCCCAACAGTTCCCATGGAGGAGCTCGTAATTGTACAATTACCCAGGTAAATTATTATGCGATAAAGCACGCAGCTTGTAAGCTAAAAAGCTGAAATATTTTGAATATGGGTGAGGAGGTCCAACCCTTTACTCCGTCGACCTTTGCATGTGAAAATGAGGAATCACAACTGGGGCCTTTTCATTCCATTTGACCGACGACGACATGTCAACACGTGAAGCTATTTGACTTATTTGTGAAACTGCATATTTAAGTATACCCACATAAATAAATAAAATACTGGCTAATATCCAGACGTCTCAATCGAAGGCTAATGAATTATTTTCGTATAAATTGAATTTGGGTTTGTTTTGGGGTCCCAGCAGGCTGTCAGCATAAAGTAAGTAATTACACCCAAGTGCCTGCTCAATTATCTTTGAGCGGAACATTGCTTAATTGTGCACGGCACTGAATTGGGGGGTGTGCAACCCCTCCTATACCATAGCTCACCCCCCTAACAGACCCGGATCCGGAACTGGGTTTGCCAACCCCGACAAAGCTTTCACTTCAATGGAGATCTACCTGCCGGAGAGCCCTGGATACAAGAGTACAGGGATACACAGATACAGATACAGATACACTTGCTCCCCCAACGAGACAAACGAATGCAAATGCAAACACAAATAAAAGCAGAGATACTGGGGGAAGGACGAGGACGAGTAGCAGGACTCGCTTAACACGTCCTCATTCATATTTCAATTACTTTTTATGTGATTTTCGCTTTTGTCATCCAGTAAGCCCCGGCATATCCCTATTTATGTTTTTATTTTCACTTTCATTCCGACTGCCATTCAACTCTTGTTGCCCGCTTTTGGGTGTCGAGATTTGGTCTTTGAGATTACACGCCCGTGTCCGGGGATGGTGAAATGTTAATGAATATTAATGCGGCCGGTTTCGGTTTTGTGGCTGCTTATTGAGTGTGTAATTGAGCCCACGGCTGGCAGCGAAGAGGATGTTGGGGTAGATATGTACGATTTGTATGGCGGAAGCACTGCCAAGCTGATTTGCTAATTTAAGTTCGGTTATCAACGGATTGCTTTGTCCCACATCCCCCAAAACTCACCTTGTAAGGACCCAGGTCCTGAACGACGCATGTGAGGAAGGCATCACGTCCCACGGGCGCTGTCATATTCACAATTGGAGAACTAAATTTGGGATCAACTGCAATAAAGTCAAGGGATATATTCGTGGTGAGAGGGTGTGGCCATGCTTGATTGGCAAATAATTGGAATATAATGCAAATTGATAGCTTAAATAGTGATTTGGTAGACCAAACATTTGGGCAGGGTGTTCCATATAACTATTTTCTGGTTATCCCAAAATGTCGGTCAGCGCGGTTTGGCGAAAGTAAGCCTTTGTGAGCTTTATACAGGAACAAAATTTAGCGAGTTAGTAAATAACTATATTACACTAATTTAAATGGTTTATTTTACATACAAAAATGTGAAGTTTCTACATACATTCTAGTCAAAAAATGCTCAATTCATTATAAAAAAACCTTGACCATTTAATTTAATTATTTTAGTAAAATTTTTACCCGTTTAAAAATAAACCAGTATATTTAAAATTCAATTTCGGCAGTTTACCATGTTACTAAAACTCCTGTTATAAAAAATATTATTGCAAGTTTTTTAAAACACAGAAAAAAACAATTTAAAAAAAATGGTCCTAAGCAATTAAATTTATTACATATAAAACCCTTTGACTTGCTTAGGACATCTTTGAAAAGTCAAGATCTTAAAATTCGATTACTGTATTATAAATGTCAAAAATATATTATGAATAAATGCAAATTTATTTTTAATTTAACCGAATTAGGACTTTCTCTTAGGGAATTATCAAAATACAAACATCTCAACGAGAAACTGCTGTTATCGACTGTTTTAATATGGCTTGAGTTCCCCAATCGGTCTTCATTCAAGCTCCATTAAATTGACTTACCGATTACTTCAGCTGGCACCTCCACTCTCTGGGGATTGCATTGCTGACTCATCAGGATTAGGAGCAGTATTACATTTATCGCACAGGCTTGGGCACGGTATTGAGTAGAGTTTGTTTGCATTTTGGATATGTTTGTTTCACTTTCTTTGATTGAGTTGGTTAGTGACCGGAAACCATTGAGTTATCTTAAAGGATAATCACTTGTAGAGCTGTTTGTAAGAAGTCAGGTTAGAAAGGACCAGAGTTTTCCTATCAATTTTGCTGAGGCTATATTTAATAAAATAAACTGTGTAGTACAAAGTTTAAACTAGGCCTACAGACCAACTATTTAAATATTTAATTAAGTATTGATTGATGAAGGGTCTTAAATTGTATTTCCATTTATAGTACACTATTGAAGCTTAAGAAATATTAATACTATCTTATTATCTCAGGTAGGGACAACTCATAAAGAACTACGTTTCGGTAAATGGGGTGTAAAAACACCAACAAGGACCCCAGTTTCTGCTCTTCCACTTCCAGATAATCCCCATCAGCACCTGTAACCCCTGAAAATTATGGCGATGGGTTGAGTGGGCAATATCCGAGCGCCTCGTAATTGGCAGTCATTAGCGCGCCTCTAATGGCATCAACTTCTGGCTATTGCTGCTGCTATTTATGCGTGTAAACAGGCAACAGGGCAAAGTTCAACAAAAAGTACTTGAAAACAGAATCAAAACTACGAAACAATGGCAAACAATAATCGCGATGCCGGTCGAAAAGTACGCCAAATTAAAAAGTTTCAAGTTTAAAGCAGAGAGCCGTAGGGCCAACGGCCTTCCTCTCCGGACATATCCTTCCGTATCCTTCTGTATCCTTCAGTACTTTTTCGGCACTCGAATCGAGGCGAACTCAACATATATTTCCCTTCTCCACGCTCTCGGCTTATTTTGCGTGTTCTGGCTGTGTAAATTCTGCAGGCGAACAGCTGCCAGAAATTAACTACCAAGCGGCAACTATCTTCTGGCAAAAGGTGTTGCATGCTCGGCCTCTCTGCTCATTTCATTTTGGCCCGGCTCACATCGTTTTGTTTCACGGCTTTTAAACGTGGCCGGTGGGCCAAAACTGTTTACGGAACGGAAATGAAATGTTTCGCTGGCAGCCGCATCGCAGTGAGCTCGTAAATAAAGCATCAAATCGGGCATGTGCATCCTTGCGAACCTCTGAAGGGTCCGAAATAGTTGTGTTTTATGCCGGCGTTGAGTTAAGTTCACCTCCTGAGTGACATGGGCGACAAAACTTGTGCGGGCCAAGGCTCGCCAATGCAGTTGTAATCAGCATTTGGCGATCAGGGTTTATTGGGTCATGAATGGCAGGGTTTTTTCTTCAACAAATTTGTCCATACATTTACTATAATTCTTATACATTTTCAATATAACAATATCTATTGCCTTGGCAAATGATCTCTAAAATATTTTCAATCGAAAGGTGTTTTAATATAGTTGAAGTAAATTCAAACAATTTGCATTCCACCCATTCACATGAAATGACTCGCCTGTTAGTAAGGTTCAATAAAATACATCCATGAATGCAAACAAAATTGCAAAAGAAACTTATTTTTATTTAACCATCTCAAATACAATACGATTTACAAATCTACTGGGAACAAACAATTTTTATTAGAATTTATATTTTTAGAATGCTGATCTACTTTTTATTTTGCATCAGTGGCAGACACCATTTAAAAACTGGGCAGTTCAGGAAAAAATGTAGAAAAATGGAGAAGATAAGTTTTATAAATTTCAAATTTTCAGTCTTATTTACTATAAATCTTATAAATTTTTAATATAACAATATCTATTGCGTAGGTAAATAATCTCTAAAATACGTTCAATCGAAAGGTGTTTTAATATTGTTGAAGTAAATTTAAACAATTTGCATTCCACCCATTCACATGAAATGACTCGCCTGTTAGTTAGGTTCAATAAAATACATCCATGAATGCAAATAAAATTTCAAAAGGAAACTTTTTTTTATTTAACCATCACAAATACAATACGATTTACAAATCTACTGGGAACAAACAATTTTTATTAGAATTTATGTTTTTAGAATGCTGATCTACTTTTTATTTTGCAGAATACTGAACTTTTATGCTGGCACACCAGTGGCAGACACCATTTAAAAAATGGGTAGTTCAGTAAAAAAAAACACAAAAATGGAGAAGATAAGTTTTCATAAATTCCAAATTTTCAGTCTTATTTTCATTATGTAAAACAATCCCGTTTCTCTTTATTATTTCTACTGACAAGTTTTGTTCTTTTTTTCATTCTTTTCTAAAACTCAATAGTTTTTAGAACTTATATATAACTGCCGCTATAAATATAACGATTACAATAACAAAATACTTTTAAGCACTATCTATTTATTTATTTATTTATTTCGCATAAAAAGAAAACTTTCCATGTCGTCAGTTAATATTGATCGACTGATGAACCTAAACTTGCATACAACCTATTTTTATTCAAAACATAGAACAAGTGCTGGTCCAAAAATAAAAAAGGAGTAAAACTTCGATATCAAAATCGTTCAAATTCCGCCCTTATGATTGGGGAACCTTGATTAACTTTCCAGCTGTCTCGGCCATGAGGCTCTGGCTCCACATGCAAACGAACTTTGGCTTGGAAAAATAAAAGCCTACTTTCTGGCGCCCGCAAACTGACAGGAACCATTTTAAACTGGCATTTCATTAAAATTCCTTGTCCCCTCCCTTTGAGTTCGTATTGATTTTTTCATAATTTAGCGCAATTGAAAGCAAAGTTGCCGGCATGTGTGGTATGTGTCCTTTGTCATACATACGGACACACACAGCCATTTAAATCCGCATTGCATGCCCAGAAAAGTAGACTACAAAAGACAACAGGCAAGCGACAGCACTGCAAATGGTTAAGGGAGGGGGAGGGTTCGGGCCAAGAACGGCGGTAGGCACTAAAAATGTCTAGCAAATGGGCATGGCAATATTATTAATAATTTAGAGCATGCGGGCCACGTCAGGAGTCGGAGTCAGGGGCAGGGGCAGAGATACGGACAGGGATACGGACAAGAATACGGACAGGTGATGGCTGGGCCTTCAGACCCATAGCCTGACCACAAACCGAAGCCATATCGAGGCGAGTGTGTCGAAAGTCGCTCATTGCATTGATTATGATCATTGCAAATCAACCATTGATAATTAAAAACGATCATAGGGTAAAGTGCGAACCAAAGTTGAGGGAAGTAAGATTGTATTTAAAGAGGAGTACATTTATAATAATGCATAATATATCATCAACTAGAAAACATTAGAATTCATCTGTTTTTAAAATAGTTCTTGTTTGTGTAAGGAACAGAACATAAAAATTCCAATCGAATACCAACCGATGAGATTACTGTGTAACTTCCTATTGAGTGCAATTATCTCTATTGCAAAATTCAAAAGTCCGTCCTCATTAGCACTTTAAACTTTGCTCAGACTTTCTACATATAACAACAATTTACTTACGTCCAGTTCTTAAAATTTAAAATATTAAAAAAATGTCGAAACATTTTGTAAAAACACTTTTTACTTAAAATCACCATAAAAAAATGTTTAAATATAAAAGAACTTTGATTTATCTTTGACCAACACATAAAATCTTTTTTACTTTCGATAATTTTTCGATAGATTTAAATGGGCCATTCTTAATGCCCTAAATTTATTAATTTGGCATTTTCCCAAACTGAATAAAAGTTTTCTTTATTTTTTCTATTTAGAAACTTGTACACGTTTTAATTTCCAGGCAAACTAATTTTAATGTGATCTGAAACTGCCAGGGAGCATCGAATTTCTAATAGCCTAGTAATTAGTTTTCAAAGTTAATTATTACAAATTGTATTTTTTAAGAAAAAACATTTGGCAAGTGTTGAAATATTACAATTTTTATTGTGGATTAGAAGATTTGTTTTCCTGTTTTATAAGGTAACACTTGTCAGACAAAAAAAGAGCTGACGTTTAATGTTTACTAGACCATTTGTAAAGAAATGTTTATCCGAAAATCTTCCACAGATCATTTAAGTGCTTAAATTTATAGAAAACTTTATTAGGTGCTTAAGCTCCTACTTGCTTTACATAATCAAAGTCTTCCTAGCTCAACTTTATTTATGACAAATAATAAGAGGTACTCATGGCAACTTTGTGGCGTCCGAGTCATATATTATTTTTATGGTTTCGGTCATGCACAGTGCCCTTCTCCCCCAAGCTCCAATGTGTATAATCAGCTGCTGAATTATAGCAAATTTTCAGCACCCAAACTGCCCCAGCTATTTCTATTGTGTGTCGTAATAGATTTTTTCTATAAAATAACAATGATAAAAAAAGTATGACCGTAAAAATTGAAATGCAAACGCTAAGTCTCTTAAGCTTATTTTCCAAGGCAAATCTTAATTAACATGTTATAATCAGCTTCTGAATGATGGCAAATATTGATCACCCTAACAATCCGAGCTATTTGTATTGTATGTAGAACTGTGTTTTTTCTTTAAAAGGTGTTCTTTCTTTAAAATATCAATGATGAAAAAAGTGTGGCCATATATACGTTAAATGCATACGCCAAACCTGTTAAGCTATACGCATTACAGCCTAAATTCAATTTCCAAAGCAAATATTATTTAATTAGCTGCTAAAATATAGCAAAATTTCAGCACCCAAAATTGCCACAGCTATTTGTGTTGTTTGGCTTGGTGTTTTTTCTTTAAAATATCAACAATGAAAAAGTGTGCCCATATAAAAGTTAAATGCATACGCCAAACCTCTTAGGCTACACACTAACAACCTAAATTCAATTTCCAAGGCAAATATTAATTAACACGTGATAAATTTCCACCTCTATCGCGATGCCACTTCGACATTTTTCAAACTTATTTGCCGTCTAGCTTTCTATTTTTTAATCCACCCGAGATGGGGGAAGCCCAGTTAACGGACCCTGCATAAAATTTGCATAACTCAAACTGTTCAGCTGACGGCGCCTTGAGGTAAGCAGAATTTCGCCCGGATTTTCAGAATTTTCTCCTCCTTTTTCCAGCACGGAAGTTGATTATTATCGCTTGTTATTAACAACAGCAACA